ACTTTGGAAATTATAAAATAGACCGCAATCCTCGGGGTCGCGCGAGTTGTTCCGTGGAACTTGGCAATTCTATTTTCTTTGTGAGACAAAGAAATATTCTCATTAACATGCAAAGTGCAGTACAAACACAAAAACAGCAATTCGGCAATACTATTGATCACTATTTTGCTTCTGCAGAATGGAAAGTTACTCGGGTTCGTTTCTATTCATCTCCTCCTCACACCAATTTAACTGTTTTGTTCAACAGCAGAACAGATATTTAGCAATAACACTAATGCTAAGTTATGCATGTTGACGCTTGAATTTTGCTGGCAAGTCTAGTATGCATTTATTAAAAAAAATAATAAAAAATGAAAAAAATTGATAACGAATAAAAAATAATAGATTAAAATCAGGCCCAATCAAACTTCGATTCATTAAATCCAATTCATGAAGCCCATGAAGTTTGAGAGTTGGACCCGGCCCATCAAAGCCCATAGCCCGGCCACCTCATTTGAACCGAAGAGGGGGCTCTCTCCCTCACACACCTCACAAACGCTCGGCTGAGGACACACGCTTACTCTGGACCAATACATGTATGTGCACTCATAGTAAGATAGGAATAAAGTGGAAAAAAGAATTGTGAAATTTTCTGTATATTTCTGTGTTTTGATCATGGCAACAAAATCACTATCCCAACGGTTTTAGAACAGGTGTTCCTGAGTTCTGATATTTCAAGTCTCTATTTGCCTCTGTAATTATATATTTGCACGCTTTAATTTTAGGTCAAAGTCCATTCCACACGTGTGGGTTAGTGTTAATATATCTAAATATTAAACAATGCGCTCATTTCACAGCTTAAGTTTAAAACAGCTACGACAGTGGCCTCACAAAATTTCGCTGAGTAGGTCGCGGTATGAGGAGATGGTTCGGTACATGCAAAATCCGGTCATCAATTCAACACCGGTCGCTGAACTCATGGTCGAGGAGTGGAACCTCCTCTCTACTTCTGATGCTCCTGGTTTTGGCTCTATTCAGGTGCGATTGTTGTACAACTTTCTATTCGTACCTAATTTTATAATCTAACTTGCGAATATCTTCGATGACCTCGGCATCACGCCAGACTTCGCAGCTTCAAACTCCATCTTCGTCCTCATCAAAGGGGAGCCCCTTCTTGACACAATTAGACTACAGCCGGACAGAGTTCGCGATCTCCACCATCCACGCGATCGTCTTGCTCTAGTCGAAGGCAAACAAAAGAAGAACACGTGGAGCTCTTCGAAGTGTTGGATCTGAACCAGCCATTTGGTTTGGACCTAGACAGGGTCAAACAAACCAAGCACAAAGTTCATCAAGTCCCCCTTTTTCTCTTTTAATGCCCGAAAAAGGAGAGCGTTCTTCCTCCAAACAAATTCTTACAAATTAATTTGGTATTGGTGAATTAATTAGATCATTGGTAACTTACGAACCACACTCGTAAAGTTTACAAAGGCAAGCAATTTATCAATTTATTTGGACATAGGTAAATTCCTTACAATGTGGGTAGTCAACTAATGTTAATTGTGAAATTTCGATGAAGGTGGTAATTCACTAAATTATAGGTTAATTCCGTTAAAATATTATCTCACATTACTTGACAATGGGTCTTATGTGTTATTTATATACATGTGAGTTCCTTTCACTTATCAATTTAAACTTTTAGATTGAATTTTCTGACAAATTCCTTACAGTTTTAGTATATTATGAACCACGTTTGTAAAATTTGAAGAAGTTGGTGGCTTACTAATTTGGGATAAGTACACTGAAAGTACAATTGAGTTATAAAACTTACAAAAGTGCAAGCAAGTCCTAAAACTTGTCAAATTGGTACAATCAAGTCCTTCAATTAACTCAGTCCTTCTTGGCTAACGGAAAATACTGACGTAATTTTTTAAAATATTTTTTTTTATTTCCTACGTGCTGATCACATGAAACATAAAGCTAAAATGACGTCGTTTTGGTCAAACCCGATTTTAATACAATTTTTTTAAAACTAAAATAAACAAATAAGGTCAATAGGAGAGAGAGAGAGAGAGAGAGAGAGAGAGAGAGAGAGAGAGAGAGAGAGAGAGAGAGAGAGAGAGAGAGAGAGAGAGAGAGAGAGAGAGAGAGAGAGAGAGAGAGGCTACAAGAAAAATATGGCGAGTTACTATTTTGTGGAACGTTAGTAGATTTACTATAATGTTGGTAAATTACTAATGATACTTGCAGAATTTCAGAGGAGTTAGATGATTCACTACTTTGTTTGGGCATTGGTAAAACCTTGATAATATCGGTAATTTATTAAGGGGTGAACCGACAAGTGATAGGCAATTAAACGCTGATATTTTTTTAACCAACAGTATTCGAAAATTACCGGCAACAGTAAAACTTTTACCAACACGGAAATCTTTCAGCATTTAAGGGCACGGGAGGGACGGTAGAAGTCTGCCTCAACCAAGAATGAAAAACGGGACAGAAGCAGTGGTACTCATAGACATGCAAAGCTCTTTCATATATTTTCTGTTTCCTCTCTCTCTAATTTATGTCTTGAATATGCGATACGTAAAGCCAAAGCTGGCCAAGCTAACACCTGCTTCTGCAACAATTGATTATCATCTCTTGCTCTCGTGTCAAGCAAAGTATATATGCAAGAACAGATGGAATTTCTCAAGCAATAGCGACTGGCGACATAACAATCCAGACTTAACATTAAATTTAATGTTTAATTAGGGGCATTAATGAATGATAAGAATTTTAAATTCCATGTGCGCATATTTTGGTATCAAATGTTTAAAAAATAATTATTTACGATTACGCAGATTTCAATTTTTTATATAATTCCTATCACTGGTATCTTTTATATATATAATTTTTTCTATTGTCAAATCATTCATATGAAGAGTGCCTATTTTTACCAACCATGGATCTTCGGTTCAGAGAAAGAGGTGATGATCAAATTTAAATTTTGTGATAATTTTTAAGGGTTAATACAATGAAAAACCCCAAACTGGTACACCTGTGATAAATTTTACCCCAAACTAATTTTTTGACCTCCAAAAATCCCAAACTGATACACCGGTAACAATTTTACCCTTTATTTGTTTCCGTTAAAATTTTACTGTTAAATTGCTTTGAAATGACACGTGGCAGTTGACTGATGTGCCAATTTTATGTTTTACCCTTCGTTTATTATAGGTATATCGGTTTGTTATTTTTTGTGGTATTAATCCAATTTAACGGAAACTAACGGAGGGTAAATTTGTAAAAAATGTACAAGTTTAGGATTTTTAATGGTCAAAATATTAGTTTGGGGTAAAGTTGTCACAGGTGTACCAGTTTGGGGTTTTTTATGGTATTAACCCAACTTTTTAATATGCAGTGGTTTCTTTACTTGAAATTTTGAAAAATAACAATAAAGTACGAGTTTCGACACTATGGAATGATGTAACACTAAAAGAAATAGGCAGCTGAATTGTATCGATACGGTTCTCTTAGATGACAAGGCAAGTCGTCATTCGTTTCTATATTCGGTTATTTTGCTTGCCAATTGATTATTTTTTGGTATGTTTTGTTTAGAACGAGTACAACCATGGTTCTATCAACAGCAACATTGCACATTGCTTTTGAGATTTGGTAAAGGCAATATATATTTTGTGAAGAACAAGGATACTAATCGTGTTGTTAGTGACAACAAAGCACATGAGTTGAGAACCTACACAGCACGATTGAAATGGTTTAAGTTCCGACAGGTATTACATTATACAATTTTATTACAGTGATGACAATTTTTCAGATCACAAGTTGAAGAGTTATTGAAAAGAGATGTCATGTGCCAAAAATGTGGAGAAGGAGCGATAGTTATGAAGAATGTAAATGGTGCGAAAGTGAAAACCATTCCCACTGAGCTCAAAGATAATAATAGGTATAGTCTAATTATCATGTACCTAAAATTTGTATAAATTTAAGCATCTTTTGCAAATTCTAATATTTTATTTTCTCGAAGGTCCAACCAGGTATGTCTCCCCTTATGGGATGACTTTGTAGATAAATATTGAAAGACCAAATATATGTGCCCATTGAAGCATCAGATGGTCATTTTTACTTGGGGTGAGCAATGAATCGATTGATAAATTCCCCGTGTGATCTGGCCAGAAACCCACCCGGTGAGGCCAGTTTCCAAGAAAAATATTTGGAAACCGGCCTTGACCTGATAGGTGTCTCGTTCAGGGTAGAATCGGCTCAAAACCAACCCTAATATAATATTTAACATTATGTTCGACATTATAGTCATATAATTTGCTAAATTATAATCTCGCAATGTTCAGCAAAATATTTAATACCATAATGAACAGTAGGGTATAGCCTTTGCCTGCCAATGGGCATCGAGACTAGCAGGAAAAGAAAGGCAACGTCTAAACTCATGAATTTAGGAAATACATTAACAAAATACGGAAAAAGAATATATAAGTAATACTCAATTGAATCGTAAAGCAAGAAAGTAATTCTATAAAGAGTACCTAATTATTAAGATCAATATATCTATATTTATAATATAGAAAAGGAAAACAAAGAAACTTTGATTAGATAATATTTCCATGGTTGTTAAAGAAAAAAGGATTTGGGGAGACCATCTAAGATATAGCTGTTTCCTGTTAAAATGAACATGATCGTTTGCGAGATTACTTGGGAGATCAAATACTTGCCGATGTTTTGGGTTGTAACTTGAACATTTCACTTTTAGCACTAAAATTGTTCCTACAAAAATATTATTATTGGATATAAAAGAACCATTCCATCGAACAAAAGAAAGTAATCAGATGTGACCCCATTTGCAAGAATGAAATGCAAAGAAATCCCTTTCTTGTGTAATGGTAATTGAGGAGGCGAAGAAAGGGATCAATTCCCAAGTTTCCTTCTTATGTCGACATAAGAAAGGAATCTTCCTCTTTTCTTTCTCTATATAATGTGCGACGAGGACAAATGCAGGCAGCACTCAAGAACCATTTCTTCACCGTTTCTTATCTTGTTGGTTGCATTTCATTCAGGCTTGCTGCTGTCGAATTTGATCCTTCGGTACCGCCCGCACTCCTGGTAATTTTGCTCTCGGTTATTTTCACCATGTGTGCATCGATTTATTGTTTTAGGAACTATAAGATTAGTGATTTGTTTTCACCGGCATTTTCATCGCCTTTAATCACGGACCTCGGACTCAACTGCCGTGGGTCCTATATGCACATTGATTTAGGCCTCATCTTGTAATGTGCATGGATGATGAGAAATCCCCGTAAGTTTGTCCATCTCCTGTGGTTGATTTCAAGCTCTTTGCTTTCATAAGCATTGGCAAAACAGCTAAAGGCTTGGTTTTATTTTTTTGAATCCAATCTCATTTCAGACGCATGTTAACATTGTTTTTTGGTCTGAAACATATGAAATCTTCACACTAATTACACATAATCTTTTCATAATTTTTTAAATACTTAAATTATGTTTTAAATTTTAACAGAGAGAAAAAAAATTACTTTTGCTTTTGTAAAAAGCACAAACAAACAAGTGCGAAGAAATTTCAGCCAAGCCAACTCTTATCATCATGATTATGTTCTTTCATTATATTTTATTATGTGTCGTTTGTGAAACCAAACTAAGTATATGTAATACATACATATATACATATAGGCACATACACACACATCAATCAATAATAAAAAACTTCATTAAAATGGAGTTAAATGGTTGACCCACATCATCACAAAGTTCCATCCCTTCACACTTTCCTTAACATCAATTAGACATATTACTATATTACTATACAGTAAAGTAGAGGAAGACTCAATCATCTAATTTAATCTAATATAATTTTCCTAGAACATTATATCAACATTAACTTGCCTTACTTATTGTATTAGATTATATAAGTATACAATAATTATAGATAATAGAAAATATTTAAAATGACAAACATTGATTGCAAAACTCCAATGTACATACATACGTTACAATAAAGTGGGAAAGAACTTAATCATACCATTTAATCTTTTACATACAAGAACAACAACATCGACTTGCCTTACTTATTAAACTGGATGTGATCTTTTACATATCTAGCAAACTTGTGTCACTTTCGTCCCAATTTAATTGTGGTTCTAACTCCAACCTCAGCTCTCTCAATATCCACCGGATATGTAAAAGATTACATCCTACCTTAACGAGTGAATTGATGGGGTATTTATGGTAAAGAGGATCAAAATAATTGCTTAACAGGATTATTTCATATGGATAGGCCACTACTTGTCAAGGGGGACTCAAGCCAATTGTATACAACCACGTGTCAAAAGGACAAAGGCCGACACCAAGCCCGATAGAAAGATGTAGGGACATATACAATCAAATCTTTGCTGAATTTCCTGTCTGATCATTTATTTTTTAATCTAAAGTTATTTTTGCTTTTTCTATTAATGACTAATAGACAAGCTTTTCTTACTTACTGCAACAACTTTTATAATTCTTTTTGCACTAAAAAAAATGCAACAATTATTATATTATTATGATGATAACTGTTTCTTTTTATACAAAGTATGACTAGTCTTCTCATAATGATGTGTTGTCCACGTCCCGTATCTACTTTTGTTAAATTGTAACATTCTTATCATCCCATCAATAATAGGAATGGTCTTAATCATTACCTTTTATGCCTTTTCTCTATGCATGGCAATCCTTTTCGTGTATTTCAATGAAATCTCCAGTAGGGTTGGTTTCATATTTAATAAATATATTATTCCTTTATACAATTACCTAAATTTCCAAATAAATGCCACTATCAGGAACTTGTTATAGGTTATTTCACATGAGCATTGCTCCGTGCAAGAATGACTTGAGATAAGAGGCACGATCCTAAGTTATTTTTATTTGTTTGATATGTTTTGGAGAGTTTTGGCTTAGTGAGCTCAAAGTAAGGCTCGTTAGAGATGGACTTGTCTATACTAGAGCTAAATTAGAAGAAGAATATGTTGGGGGATAGAAAGAAGAGCCAGACTTAAAAGACAAGAGAGATGACTTGTCTTATAGTAGTTGTTAAAGAAAAGCTACAAATTTCAGTTATTTAAAGGATTTCAAACTAATTGATATGATTACAATAAAAAACTGAAATAGTAAAAGATTGTGTACAGATATAGGATTTTACTGTGCATAAATGTGCAAGTTTTGGAATTGTCTAGTATGGGAAGAGCTTTAAGGCAGTTTTATTTATTTATTTGGATAATAGGAAAAAATAAAGGAAGGAAAAAAAATATAGAAGCATTGATAATAGGAAGCAAACGATTTTGTGAGATTAGCAAGGAGAGTGAACTTCCTTAATCAAACCGTAATGTTTTAGTAAAATAATAGCAATAATGCCACGTGACAATATGAATGAGAGTTTTAAATTGAGATGAGTAGTGTTGGCATCAGAATGTTAACAAATCCATTATGTTACTTACACGTATAGAACTTTCTATATTCCTAGAAAGAATCCCTATCCTAATGTGTATTCCACATGTGTAACTATATATTCCCATATATATTGGTTGCTAATTAATCGTAGCTCACATCTCACGGTGCTTGAATATCAAAGCAAACTAACATTCCCTAAGTTTATAACGTAAGCTTAGTTACCAACTTCGTCATACATTAAATCCATCCCAAGAATATGAAAAATGATTGGTCATCTTTTCACAAAAAGGTAAAGAATGAAACCTTTTTAAAAAAAACGTCAGTTTTCTTGCGGGCATCGGATGCGACCTGAGTGGGTTTGCATTTTTGGTTGAGGCTTGCGTGGATGATAAGAATTCCTATCTGTAATAAGCTGAAGTCGGTCATAGAGTTGATAATTAGATATGTTAGGCTTTTGATTTGCCAGTCTCCGATGAGCATCAACATTAACTTGTTATGCATGTTGTGAGAAGTCTCTAGCCTTGGACCTACTGCACTAATATCTTCTGATTCACAGAGAGACAGAGAGAACAAAAATGGCAGAAGCTGTCATCGCCGGTATTGCTGGAAAGATCGTCACTTATCTGGTTCCTCAAGCACTGGAAAATGTTGGAAAGTTATGGGGCGTTAAGCATGAACTTGAGGTGCTCAGGGTCACTGTCTCCACTCTTCAGGCTATACTGGAGGATGCAGAAGAGCAATACCACCAGAGTCCCCAAATCAAAGTTTGGGTTGATGAACTGAAAGAAGCTTTCTACGATGCACAGGACGTGCTTGAAGAATTTAATATAGAAGCCATGCGACTAGAATTGAGGGGCCACAATGAAATGATGAAGGAGGTAAGGACATTTTTCTCAAGTTCAAACCAGCTTGCTTTTAAAATGAAGATGAGTTACAAACTAAGAGCCGTTAGGGTGAGAATAGAAGCCATTAAGGCTGATAAGGGATTCCACTTGGATGAGCGCCCCAAGAGAGAGTGGAGGAAGAGAGAAGAGACGCATTCGTTTATACGTAAGGAAGATATTAGAGGGAGAGATGAAGATAAGAAGGTGGTCATGGAATTTTTACTGGATTCAAACGTGCAAGAGAACGTTTCTGTGACATCCCGAATTTCGGCCCATTTTTGGGTTTTATAAAACGCGTAATTTGTCAGTGTGCTTATAGTAAAATCTCGCCCGGGAACTGATCACTCCCGGTTATCATTTTAAATTAGAGATTTCGCTAGAATCGCACTCGATCGAATTTGGCCGTTATTTAGAGCCCAAACTTTGGTGTCGAATTTCTCGGAGTTCCGGGACGAATTTAATTGGATGGTGTCGATATTATTGTGGCCAGCGTCGGTATTACCCGGAGTATGTGAAAAGTGGATTTTTGACCGGGTGCGGATTTGGACTGGTAGACCTCCCTCGTGGTGTGTTTCGGCATATTTTATTTTGGCCATTTTCCTATATTATTAATTAGGATTATAGGGGACCGTTAGATCGTTTTCGGGTTTGAACCGTGTCCGTTGGATCGCACTCGAGTGAGAGATTTGACTTTGAGTCTCTCTCTCTCTCTCTCTCTCTCTCCTCCCTCTGCCGCACTGAGCACGTCCCCCTCCGCGCACGTTCACCCCCCCTTCCATCATCACGTCTGTTCTCTCTCTCTCTCTCTCTCCTTCTTTCCCTCTCTCTTTCCTCCTCTGCGCGCACGTCTTCCCCATGCAGCGTCCCCTCAGCCCATGCCATGCAGACCAACCCCCCCCTGACACACTTCTTCTCTCTCCTCCCTTCTCTCTTCCTTCTTCTCTTTTCCTCTTCTTTCTTTTCCTTGTTCTTCACCGGCGTCTGGTTCTGCTTCGCCCCGCTCTTGCTCGCCCAGCCGACCGCCGCCCGAGCCCGCCTGACCGCCGAGCGCCGCCGCCCGTCTTCCTCGCGCCGTCGCCGCGCCCTGAAGCTCCCGCCCGACGCCGCCTCCCTTCCTTCCCAAGCGCGCGAGCTCGCTCGCCGCCACCGCTGTCTCGGTCCGTCGCCGCCCGGCCGGCCGCCTTGCTCCACTCGCCGTCCGGCTCGCCGCCGCGGAGCTCACGGCCCGTCGCCTTCGCCGCTCGTTTGTTCGCGCACACAGGAGCTCGCCGATCCCGAGCTCGTTCGTTCCGTGCCGTCCACCGTCGGCTGCTGCGAGTCGGCTGCCGCGTCGCCTAGCCGTCCCAGTCGTTCTTCTGCTCGCCGGCCGGCTCCTCCATCGCCCGGCTCGCCCGGCCAGCTCACCGCCGCTCGTCGCCGCCGCGTCGCAAGTCGCCGCCACGTCGCTGTCGCCGCCCGGTCGCCGCCCGGCCAGCCAGCCAGCCAAGGGCCGTAGCCGGATCGTCGCCCGCGCGACCAAGCCGCGCGCCGTCGCCGTGCCCGTTCCGCGCCCGTGCCGTGCTTGTGCCGTGGCCGAGGGGCGTGCCCATGGCCGAGCGCGTGGCCTGAGCTCGCCCGGCGCCTTGCCCGTTTAGCCCGGGCACCTCGCCCGAGTCCAGCTTGCCGTGCGCCCCCGGGCACGCCGTTCGGCCATCGCGCCCGCGCGCGCGGCACGCCGTCCGGCCATTGTGCCCGCGTTGGCCGGCCACCGCGCCCGTTGGCCCGCGCCTAGTTCGGCACTGTTCACCCGGGCCATTTTGGGCCCGAGCCGACTTTTCCCGGGCCAAACTTAGGTAAGTGACTTCCTAAACCCTACCTAGTACTTTGGGTATTTTTAGACTTGTTTAGGGTGAAATTTAGTACCGGCTTAGGACTTTAATTAGGCGTGGGCTAATTAGACTGATTGTGCTTAATTGGTGAATTATTGTGGCGATAATTGTGCGGCTGATTTAGTGATTGACTGAGATAAATATGCCTGACTGAATTGTCGTGGCGCTTGTGGGTGAATTGGATTATTTGAATGTGCCGACATGAATGTCGGGTCGGTGGACCGACGTGGGGAGTGTGAATTAAATTGGTTGTTAGAGTGTGTCATATTGACATTGGTGTGAGCTTGGTAATTTGATTGTGAAATGTACGACGTGTTAGATGACAGATTGTGTGGTGGTGCATGTGCATGAGAGAAATGTCCTGAGGCGTGGTTACGCGGGACTGAGCCCGGCTTGATCTGAGGGCTGCCAACCTGAGGCGTGGTTACGCGGGTGTGGCTAGAAAGGCAAGTAATGACCTGAGGCGTGGTTACGCGGGTCGAGAGAAATGTCCCGAGGCGTGGTTACGCGGACCGAGCCCGCTTGATCGAGGTCGCTAACCCGAGGCGTGGTTACGCGGGTGTGGCTAGAAAGGCAAGTAATGACCTCGAGGCGTGGTTACGCGGGTCGAGAGAAATGTCCCGAGGCGTGGTTACGCGGGCCGAGCCCGGCTTGATCTAAGGGCCGAGCCCGAGGCGCAAAGGGGCGCGGGCCGTGAGATTGGGCTGAGGCGCAGTGGCGCGGGCAGGGTGAAAGGACCCGGGAGGTCGTGGAAAGTTGTTCGGCCACGTATGCGAGTTGAATGTGATTGAATTGATTGGACTGGCTGATTGAATGTGTGATTGAATTGGTTGGATTGATTGAGTGCTAGTGTGGTTGGTGCTTGAGTGATTGTGATATGTTATTAGACTATTAATATTGCATTGTCACGTTTAACTAACATGTAGAGCATGCGTTTGATGGCGAGGTAAGTACAATGACGTGAATTTTATATGTTGTGGGGTAGATTGCATGTACGACTTGTCTGGGTACGCATTGGCCTACGTGGGGTATAGGGGATTGCTTATTGAGACTCGTTCTCACGGTTATTATATAACCATTTCAGATCCGCGACCATGAGTGACTGGAGACGCTGCAAGGGTATCTCGGAGATCAAGTACGGGTCAAGTTGCCCCATATTTTTGTGTGCCCCTCTTTTGTATAGCGAAGTAGGATATCCAACCACTACTCCGTTTTAATGTTGTGTATTTGGAATTATTGTTTTGTGCTATCCCTTCGTCATATTTTACTGTCTGGGTTGTTTTATTTCGCTTCCGCTTGCGTAGTTCGTTTGGGTCGGCGACGCGTCCTGGGACGTCGCGTTCAATACGATCGTGGAAGGGGTGTCGCGAGCCCGTTGGGGTTCGGGGCGTGACAGTTTCCATCCTTCCAATAGTTGGTATTGGGGGGCTTGGAAAAACAGCTCTTGCTCAATGTGTGTATAATGATGACATTGTCAGTAAACATTTTAACTTGAAAATGTGGGTTTGTGTTTCTGATGACTTTGACATCACAAAAATAGTGAAAAATATGATAGCTTGTGCAAAGAAGAAAGAACCAACCGAGGTTGCGATGGAACGGTTGCAAAGTGAACTGAGGGAAGGGATTGATGGAAAGAGATACCTCTTAGTTTTAGATGATGTGTGGAATGTAGAACAAGAAACATGGCTGAGCTTGAAAACTTTATTGTTGGGAGGTGCTAGAGGAAGCAAGATCCTCATAACTACACGCCTTCCTTTGGTTGCGAAGATCACCGGCACTGCTCTGCCTCATCTTCTTGAGGGCTTATCTGAAAGTGCGTCTCTTGAATTACTAATGCAAATGGCTTGTTGCAAACAAGAGGAGATACAAGAGCCTGACATGCTAGCTATTGGTAAAGATATAGTTAGAAAGTGCTCCGGGGTTCCATTGGCTGTTCGAACTATTGGGAGTTTACTCTTTAAGAAGAATAAGCACGAATGGTCGCAATTCAAAGAAAAAGAGCTCCTAAATGTGTCTCAAAGGGAAGACGGCATAATATCAATTCTTAAGCTTAGTTATGATCATCTTCCTTCACATTTGAAACAATGTTTCGCGTTTTGTTCATTGTTTCCCAAAGATTATGAGATACAGAAGCAGACTTTGGTCGATCTTTGGATGGCAGAAGGATTTATCCAGCAATCAAATAGAGGTCAGCATTTAGAAGACATTGCTTGTGGATATTTCGAGGATCTACTATGGAGTAACTTCTTTCAAGATTATCAGGAAGATAATGAGACTTGCAAGATGCATGATTTGATGCATGATCTAGCCTGCTTAGTTGCACGGACCGAGTGTTGGGTGGCATGGGATGACACAAAATCCATACACGAAAGAACTCGTCATATATCATATGGTTCAACTTTCAATTTGAGGGGCGAATTTCTAATCTCATGCTCAAAAGCTAGTGTGCTGAGAACATTTCTGAACGTTGCTAGTTATTGGGAAATGAAACTAATGAGTGAAGCAGATTTATGCCAACTCATTCAAAGTTTCAAGAGGTTACGCGTCTTGGATTTGCATGAAAATAATGTAGAGAAGGTGCCAAGGTCCATTTGTAAGTTGAAGTATCTCACGTATCTCGATCTCTCTGGCAATCATAAACTGAAAAGGCTTCCTAACTCTATTATGAGATTGCAGAATTTGCAAACTCTTAATCTCGAGGGTTGTTCTGTCCTTGAAGAATTGCCAAGGGGTATAAGGAAGTTAGTTAGCCTTCGAAATCTAGACATAGATGGTTGTTGGAAACTTAGTTATTTGCCAAACGGACTAGGGCAATTGAGTTCTCTGCAAAGGCTAGCGCGCTTCATTTTGCCTAAAAATAAAGCTCTTGATAAGAATTATTGCAGACTTGGGGAGCTAAATGGGCTTAATAACATCTTGGGAAGCCTTTGCATTGAGAATTTGGGAAGTGTGATAGATGCCGAAGCAGAATCCAAGGCTGCGAACTTGATAGGGAAGCATTCTCTGGAATCTTTGAAACTTGAATGGAGCAATTTCGATACCGATGATGCAGTAATCGGGGATAGAGATGAAATGCTATTAGATGGACTGAGGCCACACTCAAATCTGCAGAAGTTGAGGATTAAAGGATATAAAGGTGAGAGCTTTCCAAGGTGGATGACGGATAGCCTTGTGTCTTCTTTGCCAAAATTAGTTGAGGTATACTTCTCCGGCTGTGAAAGATGTAAACATCTCCCTCCACTAGGCCAACTACCTCACCTCAAGACTTTAAAGATTTCGGGGCTGACCAAATTGGAATACATTGAGTCGGACCGTTCATCCACTTCAGCGGCATCATTTCCTAGTCTATTGGAATTGGAGATCAATAATTGTATGAAATTGAAAGCCATGCCACCAGCTCCACATCTCGAGCGATTAAGCCTGTATGGGGCCCACCCAGCGTTGATAAATATGATAGTTGACCTTAATAAGTTGAAGCGCCTAGTAATCTGGGGGATGGAGTCTCTAGAATGTGTGCCCGAGGAGTACTGAAAAAGCCTCGCCTCCCTTGAATCTCTGGGCGAGGAGTGCTGGAAAAGCCTCGCCTCCCTTGAATCTCTGGGCATCGGTAAATGTCCTGGGTTAACTTCCCTCTCAACACCACCGCAACCACCACCACCACCACCACTACTGGGTACGCGACATCAATCCAACCTGGTGGATTTCGATTCTTCGGATTCTGAGGAGCTGGATTTATCCAATTACGACGAAAGCAGCGGTGGCAATAACGACCACCTCATCTTGGATTCCCATGAAGGATTCCAGAATCTCCGCACCGTGACACTCCATGAACTTCCAAAACTAGCATCTCTCCCACAGTGGCTTCTCCAGCTCAGCAATCTCGAGGATCTCACTATTATGTATTGTGAGGAGCTGGATTTATGCAAAGACGAAAGCGGCAACAACAACAACCTCATCTTGGATTCCCACGGAGGACTCCATCACAGTCTCCGCTCCGTGGATCTCTCTCGCCTTCCAAAACTAGCATCTCTCCCACAGTGGCTTCTCCAGCTCAGCAATCTCGAGTGGCTCAGAATTTGGGGTTGCGACAATTTGAAGGAATTACCAGAGCAGATCGTGGCTCTTGAATCACTTCAGAAGCTTGAAATCATCAAGTGCCCCTCGTTGACGTCATTACCCGAAGGAATCCGAAGGCTTGCGTCCCTTACTCACCTAAGAATCGGAGCTTGCCCAGAATTGGAGAGGAGGTGCACGAGAGATGTAGGCGAGGACTGGGACAAGATCGCTCATATCCCCCACATAACTCACGAGCTCTCTTCTCGTTTCTGAAGGTATGCGAGGACCTTTTTACCCAGATTTTTTACATGAAGAATAATTCTCGAATTGTGTGTTTCGATTACTTGATTTGATTCTGGGGGGACATGGACAGATCGCTGGCACAAGATTTGCTCATTTCCCGCACATATCTCACGATCCCTAATATTCTCTCTAAAGGTACGTGGGACCTTTTTTCATGAACAATTTCTCGATTCGGGGACATGGGACAGATTGCTGAAAGGTTTGGACATGTCCTTGATTGCAGGTATTTACAGGGTGTGGGAAGATCGCCTTATCCCCATCCGTGCGAGAAAAACGAAGTGATCTATTTATTTGATTTCACGAGGTGTGAAATGCCTGCACAGTCCAATGATTATTTGATTTCACAAGGTGTTGTAGATATAGTGTTGTAGATATAGTGTTGCAATCTGTTTATTTGATTTCATACTCCTCATCCAACTCCGAGCTCGTCAAATCTAGCTTGTGACTCGCGTTGTGGATATAGTGTTGCAATCTGTTTATTTGATTTCACAAGGTGTGAAATGCCTGCACAGTCCAATGATTCTGGAAAACTCTCGTAGATGGAGTGATGAGATGTTTCTCTCGAAAATGGTTTTTCGTTTACTTCCCTTAAAAATAACTTTTATCTCAATGTGTTCCCATAGAATCGGACGTTGCGGCAAAGATCTATGCAGCAAATCAAGGGTATGAATGGCGACAATGAAATATGTAGCGTTTTTCTTTTCACATGATACATGCTACTGATTTATTAATTCCTGAAATCAAGCGATCCCTAGACCTGTTGAGCACCTGTCTAAACTTCCAAAGTGGAATTACTATGGATCAAGTACCGAAGTGATCTTATTGTTAGCATTTGACAGCAACACTGTGTAAACTAAAAGCTGCAAATGGTTTTGTATTACAGTAGAGTTTCTAAAGTCTCTCTATGAAGAATTTGAAAGGAAATGCAATGGTGAGGGAGAGAGAGAGAGAGAGAGAGAGAGAGAGAGAGAGAGAGAGAGAGAGAGAGAGAGAGAGAGAGAGAGAGAGAGAGAGAAGGGAAATGCACATTCTTGGTTTGCTGTTCAGCCATTCTGCAGAGGTTCTCAGGTAAGTCCATTGCCAATTTTGAGCACCATCTTAAGCAATTGAGTAAATGTTTGACATTAAAAGAGGTCTTATGACAGTTGGACTCGGAGTCTATCTATGTCTCTACATTTTGATCACTGTGAGGTTGTCCTGCTCATTTTGTTTGGTTGACAAATGACATATTCTTCGTCTCTTTGTGACAACGATGTTTATAAAAGAAATGCGTTTGTCTGAGGCAGGATTAATGAGCGAAGCAGTAGTCTTTCTTGTTTTTTTCTTTTGATAACTATCTTACCAATTTTAAGTATATGTTATGGACCTCATGTAGACTCGATTTCTCTTGTATCCACTCTTGTCTCAGATCCAATTTTGATGACAAATGACTTGTTTTGTTGCTCTGAATTTGTATCTTAGTTGTGAATGTTTGGTTTTCCTTATTTGCCATCGTGCAAACTTATCTTCACTCAATTTCCTGATACCGTGACTTTGCATTTCCAGATTTCTTCCAGGTTCCTTAAACAAAACAAGAGAACTGTAGCTCTAGTAGGGAATGAGAAAATGAAGGCCAGCACCAATGTTAGGCATATTGTTATCCCTTGTACAAGCTCGGCTACATCTCAGGTTATCCCAGACATAATACGCTGTTACGGCAGGTTAATTGTTTCCATTTCCATTTCTTTAATGCTGTGCTCTTTTGTTGGTCATGAGATATACTGCAGAGTCTTTAAACTTTCTTCTCTGGTTGGATTTTCTTTAGTGGAGGCCGTACCATAATTTTTACTGAGACAAAGGAATGTGCTTCTCAACTTTCGGGATTGTTGCCCGGAGCTCGACCATTGCATGGGGACATACAGCAAGCCCAACGAGAGGTAAATGATGAATATGCAGAAACCCAACGAGGGGTAAATGATGAATATGCAGAATCTTTATAGGTATTATTTCATGTAAGAGTGTTAATGTCGTAACACACTGGAGAGGAGATGAAGAAAGAAAAGAAAGCATGCTTTGTTATACTGAATTACATGACTAGGAATGTTGGTTTACCTGCTTTCCAGTTGTCAACCACAGATAGTGGGTGACAATGTTGTGCGAGTTCCTTACTATGTTTACAAGTCAACCCACTTAATTTGCCTAGTAGTTCATTTCCTTGGAGAGTGCTGATTTAATGACGTGTGGTAGTTGCGCAAGCTATAAATGATACGGGATATAAATGTTACATCCAGAGGCAAAGAGATTGGTCTGTAGCAACAAATTCCCTTTCATTATAAAATATTTTCAGTGAATAAAGGTGGCTGATTCTTTTAGTGGGGTACCTACCCTCTTATTCTCAAGTGATGAATACACAGGTACAAGCTTCAATAGAATGAATTATTAGTATTTGTTTTTGGATCTGATTCATTGGTAGGTCCAGCATCATGACTGTGGAAACAATATTCTTTTGTTAATTTACAGGGGCTATCTGTTTAAGTGATGCGTTCCTTGTATGTCACTTATTCTCTGGCTTTGTGTATGCGAGTATTTCTAGAAATTAACTTTCACAATCTAGGGCATGTTTGGTTACACATAAGCAAAAGCCAAGAGTACTTCCCGCCAAAATTTAAAATACTATTTTAATATGAGAAAAACTATGAAAAATCATATCTGAATTTAAGTGTCAATACTTGAGTGTAGTGATAATTTCAAGACTTTAAGATTTTAAAAATGTGTGTGCAAGCCACAAGATATATATTAAGAAAAAACAAAATGTAAAAGTCAATCCGGCCACACGCTCGGAATGGCGACCAATGACCATCTATATTAAAACGGTTGAAACCTTTTTTGCCTTTTAATTGACAAATGACATGCTTTTCCTTGCTTAAACTTTGCCTCTTGAGTGCTGGTTACACTTGCTGGTTTCAGGTCTGGCAAGTTTATGACATTAGTGGTCACGAATGTGGCAGCACGAGGATTGGACATCAATGATGTCCAGTTAATTATCCAGGTATGCTGTATATGGTATGTTTTGAGTTGCTGTTTTTCTAAATGCAGTCGTGCTGATAGTTGGCCATTTTTTTTTTAAGTGCAAGCCTCCTCGGGACGTTGAAGCCTATATTCACAAATCTGGATGCACAGGGAGAGCTGGTAATTGTTCAACTTGAAACCTGCATTTTCCATAGTGTCATTATTTCTGCAGCTCGCCAGATGCTGAGGGCACTAATGTTTTCTAGGCAATACTGGAGTAGTTGTCATGCTGTACGATCCAAGAAGGGCAAACGTATCTAGGATCGAAAAAGAGTCTGGTGTAAATTTGAACACATGGCTGCTCTGCAGCCAAGTAATGCTGCTCAAGCTGCTGGCATCGAAGCTGCTGAATCAATAACACAAATTTCTGATAGGTACAGTCAGTCTTTTTGCTGAGTAGCTGAATCATTGCCTATAACAACGAGATGCTGATATTCTCCAAAATGCAGTGTTATTCCGGCATTTAAGTCTGATGCCGAGCAACTACTGAACACGTCTGGCATGTCAGCAGTAGAATTACTTGCAAAGGCTCTTGCTAAGGCTCCTGTAAGTTTATTTTTCACTCACGTCTGGTTACTTTAACAAAGCTGATTGCTTATTTTTTTCTTTAATCGCACTTCGTTGACATGCATCTCTTTTCCTTCTTTCTTTGGTTATTTAACAAATATAATCTGTACACTTCCTTTTTCAGGATTATAGTGAAATAAAGAGCAGATCACTGCTCTCGTCACTTGAGAACCATGTAACCTTACTTCTCGAGACTGGAAGGCCCATTTATACACCTTCGTAAGTATTCAAGATCTCTGTCAGCAAAAAGTTGTGTTGCTTTGCAGTACTGCTTTGTAGATATTGCGTGGATGTGAGGGCAGGCCCCCTTCTAGCTTTGGTATTATATTCGATTCGCACCTGATCTGACTCTGGGCTTATATATCACTTCGATTTTTAGGTATGCTTTTGGTGTCCTGAGGAGATTCTTGCCTGAAGAAAAAGTAGAGTCTGCGAAGGATCTTACTCTCACAGCTGATGGAAATGGCGTTGTATTTGATGTGGCAGCTGAAGATCTGGATACTTTCCTTGCTGGTACTTAAACCACAGAACTCATCAGCGCTCCAATGTCAATAAGTGATGCTGCACCTTAC